CATATTCCTCATCTTTCCTCCTCAAGGAATCATTGGCTGTGGTGGTCGCCCTGCCATGAAAATGTGTTCCAGTCTTATGAAGAATGCAGTACGTCCCGTAGTCTTAAGCAGTGGGATGAACTGGGAGGGGATGACGTGATAGAAGAGGCTGGCGTTTCTCCATCTTTCTGCTCAGCATCCTCTTTTCTCTCTGTCCAAAACTTCTCTCTCCCCTCTTCACCGCCACCCAGCGTCCTCTCCCTCTTTCCAATTGGTGATCTCATCCTTTTTCAGGGGGAAAAAAATCACAGCCAACGGCGTTGGGGGTGGGAGAGTCTGCAGGGATGAGGGCCAGCGAGGGGTAAAGGGGGAATGGAAAGGTTGGGCCAACAATGTCTGCCACAAACCATCAAGAGGTCAAGTGGGGAGTTCAAATCACGCTTTAGGAAGGGATGGGGTGGGATCAATCTTTAGGGACAAGGAAGAAAGCTATGTCTAGCTGTGGGAAGATGTATTCTCACAAAAGTGTGGCAAGACACAATCCTTGGGATGCTCCTTCCTCTTTCAAATTTCAGAAATTGTATGTTTTGATGGTCAAATCCATGCCCTGCGTGTGTAAAACAAACACATTGGCTTCATCTGACCCTGGAATTCATTCAGACTTATTGGATCATTTCTTTTCAATTATTTTTCTGAATGGGCCCATCTGTGTGCTAAGGGGGTTGGGGGTAGGGGGAAGCCCTGAAATCCCCCTTACCCCCTCTCAGCACCTACCCACCCCAGGTCCAACCCTGGCCTAACACAGCAGGTTGCAGAAGTTATCCCTGAACAGCTCGTCTGCCATCTCGAGCAGGGGCTCCCGTAGGATGGAGGTCAAAAAAGTCAAAATGTTGGCCTCAACCATGCCACCAAAGCCCTGCCCCCCTGTTTATACACACTGTGTGTGCAAGGCATGTAAAAAGGGGTGGGGCCTTGATCCCACAGTTGGGGCTACCATCTTGACTTTTTGACCCCCCCCCAGGGATTCCCTTGATCTCATGACTGATAAAGCATTTGAGGCATTACGTTATTCTTGCAGGAAGCCGTGGGGAGGATAGAAATAGTATTTTAAGAGACTTCCCTAGATCGGTAGCCTCAGCAAGTGGTGAGGAGAGACCACCAGCCCTACATTTCACAGCTAAGATGAGGGCAGAATTCGAATTAGAATTAAAGGACGCAAATGCTGAGAAGAACCTAAGAATATGCCTCTTAAATACTAAGACCCCTGAACTAGGACAGAGACAAATATCACCTCAATCTGTACCCAGGGCCGCTTGAATGATTTTGACACCTGAGGCTGAAAACGACACAGCCACTCTTCGCTCCTCAGGCGTTAAAATCATAATGAATGAAATAATCGGTAAGTAGCATTTTATCAGGCCCCAGATCTGCCCCCAAGGCGGTTGAGTCACTCTGAGGCTAGCACGGCCTTATGAAATTCATCGCTGCGAGATTGAAAGACGGCTGGACTCAGACCAAAGGCCGAGTCCAAGATCGTGATTCCCAGCCTCCTTTCAGAGATGAGCAATGTCTCTGTTCAGTCGAGGTTGCGTTGAGTGATGCTGGCTGTTGGCTACAGATACATCTTCCCTCTGTTAAATAAGATCACATAAGTCTTTGAGCATCGCCCGCAATCCAAGACGGCGCATTCCGCAATGCGTTTTGGTCAGCATTGATTGGATTGCGTAACTCCACATTCTTCCTACAATCGTACACTGATGACCTCTATCAGGTCTCCCTCTGAAGCACCTTTTTTCTGAAAGTAAGGGCAAAAGATGTTGACATTTGAGGCCAGCATTATTTCTCACTTTCGTGATTTCTGATGGCCCTGCTGTTCCTTTTCCTTGTAATTCTGTTATTAATTGTATTTGATTCATTGAATGCTGTGTTTCTCAACCTTGGCCCCTTGAAGATGTATGGACTTCAATTTCCAGAATTCCCCCCCCCCCCTACGGCGGCGCCGGGGTGTAGGCCTGCTACTATACACACCCTCCTCACAGGGCAACGTGGTAACAAAACAACACACACTACAAAAAAA